ATAAATCAGATATAAATCAGATATGTGCCAATGCGGCTGTCATGTAAACAGGCAGATCGGATTTTCTGAGGCATTAGGCTACGTCTCCACGGTTTAATGACGAGAGAAACCCCGACGCGCATCTGCAAAGGGACGGATGGCCCGACGAAACATTGTGTTGGAGAGGAATGTGGTCCTGTGGACACACGTTGACACAACATATCAAAGGTTGGCTTGCTCATCCTAAAATTTCAGACCCACTGCGCCTCGTTAAAAGCCCGCCACAATCTCATGAAAGTGCGTATATTGCACAAATTTTTTTTTCATGTGCCATTTACGCCAAAAATAGTTTTTCCGTGCATGGTACGCACTTTATGGCGTTCAATACGCACGTTTACAGTGCGTATCATATGCAAGCAAAAACTATTTTTGCCGTAGCCTATAAATGGCACGAGAAATAAAATTCGTGCTATATTCACTTTCATGAGATCGTGTTGTAGGCTATGTTCCCACCAGTCCTGAGATCTCGCTGCGCGTTCGTCCATCTGTGCAAGAAGACCCCTTTAAACATGCGCGATGTTTCAGTCAAGTGTAAACACATGACTCGGATATGGGTCACAATTTAAAGAACGTGTAAACGGACGGTCCAAAAAATCGGATATAGGCAACAAATCAGAATTGGGCATCAAGACCTGCAGTGTAAACGAGGCCTATTATCCGTCTCTTTTGTCCACTTTCAACCACTTCTGTCCTGATTTCTTCGAGGGGAGAGTTTATGGGTGGGTAAATGTATAGTCAAACAAGTCGACACAGATTAAATCCCGTCTGGCTAGCGCACTTTCCATAATGTTTACGCATTAGGTCAGTAGGCGGTCTTTTGTGGCTGTTCGAACACTTTCAGGAGCATGAGTTTTCGACAAACTCGAAGTGGTAGAAAGTGGACAAGCTCAAAAGGTTTTGGACCCCTTTTACACCTGTATTTAGCGTCGTCCACTTGTGATCCGAATGAACAAAATGCATCTTAAAGGGGTGATGAACTGAGAAATCAAATTTTCCTTGAGCTTTTGACATCTAAGAGGTCATCAAATTATAAGAATATCCTGTAAGTTTCAGAACTGAAAATGTCCTTGTTAGTCCAATAAAATCTTTTATTGACACCAGGCTCAGCAAACGACTCGTTTTTCAAAGTGGGGAACTATGACGACAAAGAGGATAAAACACCACCCCCGCAGAAGAAGATCAACGCCTACTTCAACACGGCCGGTTTAGCCCCGCCCACCGATTCGCGCATTACACGAAACTCATTATAATATGCAAAACTGTTATCCACTCACAGCAGTGGGCGTTTACTTCCAAGTCTTCAATGCGAGACACCCATAAAAACCGAGCGTTTTTGAGCTAGGCTCAAAACTAGGGTAGAAAATAGCCTATTACTTATTCATTTTGATGTTTTTGAATGTAAAAACCAAGCGAACGTCATAAGTTGACCTCAGACAACAATATAAAACAATTTAAAAAGCCAGTTCATGACCCCTTTAATACCAGGTGTAAACAGGGCCTTAAGTGACTATCATAACAGACAAAAATATTGTGTAGTCTGAACCTCGCATAAGACATTCCAAGTTTTTCAATTCATCTTTTTTCCCTCATATTGTTATGCTGATAATATCATTTGCAATAAAATATTTTGATTCGAAAAATGCAAAATAAAAATACAGTGGTATCAGACTTTTGGACCCACTGTAAGTTCAAATGATGCATGGACTGCAGAGAAGGTGGCTGCTAAGATGAGGTCTATGTAATATTTGCAGGTTAGCTTAAAATGCAATAAACAGATGCCCAATTTTACTCAAATGATGAGAATAAGGAGTCGGAGAGGGGGGGGGGAGAGAGAGAGAGAGAGAGAGAGAGAGAGAGAGAGAGAGAGAGAGAGAGAGAGAGAGAGAGAGAGAGGAGAGAGAGAGAGAGAGAGAGAGAGAGAGAGAGAGAGAGAGAGAGAGAGAGGAGAGAGAGGCATGAGAGAATGTGAGGTGGTGATATTGGATTCCATTACAGCTGTCAATTTCACACACACAAACGCAGAGCATCTTGGGCTCTGCATACTCGGGTGGTGGGGAGGGGAGTGTGAGATGTCTTGCATCCTGGAGACCGGCACAAATTTAATACCAGGCTGAGCATTGCTACAGTCCCAGAGATCCCACAATAATGCAACTGCTATTCCCAGTCCATGGTTCCAAAATAAATGCGTTTATCACAGTTCAGCCTCACACGGCGGCAGAGAAGTGCGGAGAAAAGCGATGACAACAGCTGCCACGGCTCACAAACACAGCGACAGGAAGGCCACAAACACAAAGGCAGACAGAAAGAAGCACAACAGGAAAACAACAGGCCGACTAACTGGAGTGAGCAGAGCAGAGCCAAAAAAGCAATATCCTTTCGTTTACTTACACCTCTCTGCCATGAAACCAAGACAACCAGACTAAACAAAGTGAGCTAGAGTCACTCACAGTACCGAATCGTTCCCTGTTTTTTCCTTTGTGCTCAGTATTTTATTATATGTAGGGCGTCAATGTGTATAATTGAATATGTATAAATATATATAATTGAAGTGAAGTCTTAATTATAAGTCAAACATCTTGTGATTTTATATATTGTGTGTTTTTCGTCTCTCTGGGGTCCACTCTTTTTCTTGCATCCTTGAAATGTATTATTGTCTTATTGAATCCATCCATCACAATACACATTCATGATGAATATATCTAAGACTGACACTTTGCAATCAACAGAGAGCCTATAATCTTCACGCTTTATGAGACTGTGGACAGACGAGACTCAGAGACACCTTAGCAAACCCCTTCCTGAGTTCACGGTACAGGCTACATGCTGCATTGTCTAAATAAATTTACCATATGCTGCTTTCTCGTTCAAACCACCTGCTCGCAAATTCGTGTTAGGTAATGCTATTCTTGCATTTTTGATGGATGAAATGTCTTTTTCACACCTTTTTTACACGTAAGTTGCACCTGCATTACAAAACACACCAAAAAAATGAACCAGGGGTATCGGAGTCAGAGAGGGAGCGAAAATTTCAGTGTTAATAGTCATATTAATCTCTGACCTCACGGCTGGAGAAAAATGTCGCTGAATTAATCAAATAACTTCACAGTTAATTAAAAGAAAACGTAAAAGTAATGTGAAGAAATGAATGCCAACGCAGCAAAACATTAAAGATTTCCACATCTATCAAGGTTAAATGCATCTTTTATACAAATCTGTTGTTTTGATGCTTTAAATAATCACTGTTAATTAAAGAATACATCCAACCTAGCCTAAACACCATGATTGTTAATGAATACGAAGATCGTATCATTAATCTGGGACTACAGCGAGCCTGAGTCACGCGTAAGGAGATCAGGTATCAGTTTCTTAAAGGAATCTCAAACAAAGCAGCTTACGTTTCCGCCGTTCTCATCTGAAACATCACTGATCCCTTAATGAAATGAAATAAGCTCTGAAAATCCTCCCCAGCCCACAAATTCTGTCTGTTTATCAAATGACCAGAGGGACTGACCGCAGATGTAATATCTGATAGGGAGCCAAATCAGGATCTTAGTTCGAAGTCAAAATTATAAAAACCCTTGACTAGGTATGATAAGAGGCTAAACTCAGGCTTTAGGTACTTTTCTTATTTCTTTATTTTGGTCATAGATTAAAAGAGTAGTTCTCCCCTAAAATGAAAAATTCCTCATGTTGTTCCAAAACCATATCACTTTTTTTTTCCCTTCTGTGGAACCCAAAAGGTGATTTAAAAGAATATTCTGGGAACTTTTTAAGTAATGAAAGTCAATGACAACTGGTACTATCAAGCTCCAAAAAAACAAACACCCCCCCCCCCAAAACAAACAACAAAACAACCACCACATAGTATGTAAAAGTTCATAAAGAATCATATATGTTGACCACACAACTTGTGTACCATATGCTTTCCTTGGAACATTAATGAGATGAGTAGCGAATCTTTTGAGTCAGATCTTTTCACAAAAATGGCCTGAATGATTTGTTTATCCTTTGACTCGATTTGGGTGCAAAAATTAACTCTGATTAGGGGAAAATTATCTGTGAATATTAACTTAGATTTCTATCTGTCCATGACACAAAGCTATCATTTGACATACATCCTTTTTGAAGCTTGAAAGCTCTGGTCCGCATTTATAGTAGTGTTATTGCACAGAAAAGTGCAAGCAGTGCAATATTTATAAGGGTAAGAAACCAAACAGAATTAGAAGTCATTCACACAGAAAGCGCTTTGAGTTTAAAAACACGATAAAAAGTTGAAAAGGTCATTTTAAGAATGCCATGTCAAGTGTGAGATGCTGCAAAAGACATAGGACACGAGTGCAATGGTTAAACACATCCGTCTATTGCAAATTTGCATAGAAAAACAATGGAAAAGCAAAAAGTGTCTTGTGTAAACAGCCCATTAGGGTAGTATTATTAACATACATGCAATGTATGATTAAAATGTATTGACGTTTAATACAAAATACAGCAATTTACAGATAAACAAGCTAATCCCTGCAAAACAAAGTCATTCCAAAGACACTAAAAGTGTTGAGCCATGCTTCATCCTTCGGGGTTCACGTCTTCCTCACTGTAAAGGCCTCTCCCCAAGGTTCCGTCCACCAGAGACACAATAATCAGTCAGCGTGGGAAACGTCGCCTCCATGCTAATTAGAACCGCTGTATTTTTAGAAGTGCAGCAAACACAAGTCACGACAAAGGCACTCAATGCCATCTGCATCGTACGCATGCTTTCATCCTCTCTCCTCCCATCTGACTGAGATGGGATATTGTTTATAAGGTGATGGATTTGTGGAGAAGATGCTACACGAGTCATTAGCTACATATTTCACTGAGCCTAAGCATTCTTCCATACTGAGCTTGAAATGTATGCACTCAAATGTAGTAAATCTTCATTGTGATTTGTCTTATAGTGTGTTAATGTGAGTTTGATTCCTTACCTTTGATCTCCTTCTCATTTCTGAACCATCGGACATCAGCCGCAGGTTTGCTGCCAGAGGTCACACAGGTCAGAGTGATGTGATCGCCCTCCTTTGCAGGCTTGGTGAGTCCATTAATCTCTGGTTTCTTAGGCACACCTAAACATGGAGGGAATAAAGTGACAGAGAGAGAGAAAAAGAGAGAGATAGCTCAGCACTTTAACAGAGTTCAAAATATTAACAGTAGGTAAGTGTGAATTTAATGGAAAAAAGATTAGAGATATTATTTATCATCTATGAACTACTCCAGTCCTTTTATTTTGCCTGGGGTTTTTTGTCGTTCACTGAGGTTAATTTAAATTTAGACCCTTTTTGTCAGTGGTTATTTGATCATATTATTGCAGAGTTTAACGTTTCCCTTGCCACTGACAAGATTTTCTATCATTTATGAGACAACCCTTTCCCGCCATAGAACTTATTCACAGCAGAGCCATCTTTGATTTTTAACGGGAATGAAAGGCTGTGAGGGATAGAAATACATCTCTTCAGTGGGTTGTACTGTTATTTAATGTGCTTTTAGATTATTCTGCTGATGAAACACTGCAAAAATATCTTTCGGAGAAATTTCAGTAGACAAACAACTACAGGCAACATGAGCTGTGGAAAAATACAAGTGATCTAGGAGCTTTATACGGCTTTTTACAGCAGATTCCATTGAAAATAAGTTAAGTCTATCCCTCACAGCCTCGCTTTCATTAATTTCATTTTAGCCTTGATGGCGCTGCTCTGAATAAGGTCTATTGACAGAATTTTCTGGCTTTCTGTGTTTTTTTACTGTTATATGGCAAGGGGAGCTATTTATATATTTTAAAATGTAATTTATTCCTGTGATCATGCAAAGCTGAATTTTCAGCATCATTAATAATAATAATTCATCACATTTATATAGCGCTTTTCTGGACACTCAAAGCGCTTCACATAGAAGGGGGAATCTCCTCAACCACCACCAATGTGCAGCATCCACCTGGATGATGCGACGGCAGCCATAGTGCGCCAGAACGCTCACCACACACCAGCTTACTGGTGGAGAGGAGACAGAGTGATCAAGCCAATTGGTATATATATATATATATATATATATATGGGGATGATTAGGAGGCCATGATGGACAGAGGCCACTGGGCAAATTTGGCCAGGATGCCGGGGTTACACCCCTACTCTTTCGAAAGACATCCTGGGATTTTTTGTGACCACAGAGAGTCAGGACCTCGGTTTAACGTCTCATCCGAAGGACGGTGCTCAATTGACAGTATAGTGTCCCCGTCACTATACTGGGGCGTTAGGACCCACACAGACCACAGGGTGAGCACCCCCTGCTGGCCTCACTAACACCTCTTCCAGCAGCAACCTGGTTTTCTCAGAAGGTCTCCCATCCAGGTACTAACCAGGCTCAGCCCTGCTTAGCTTCAGTGGGCAACCAGTCTTGGGCTACAGGGTGATATGGCTGCTGGTTTACTCCAGTCTTCAGTGTCACATGATCCTTCAGAAAGTCTAATATGCTGATTTGGTGCTCAATAAAAACCTTTCTTATTTTTATCAATGTTGTAAGCAGTTGTTATGCTTAAAGGTCCCCTGACATGAAATTTTCACTTTCTGAGGTTTTTTACCATTAATATTAGTTCCCCTAGCCTGTATTTGGTCCCCTCGTGTCTAGAATTTTCAAACGGTGTAAACCGAGCTTTGGCTATTTTTCTCTTCTCTGCAGCTCAGACGCGCTGATCTTGAATCTCCTCGTTATGACGTCATAAGGAGGAAAAGTTACCTCCCCTTTCTCTGCTTTGCCCGCCCGGAGAATTTGGCTCGCCCATGAGAAAACGAGCTAGGAACAGGAAGTACAAACGCGCCGGCGCGATTTTAGTTTTTCCTAGAGAAATAGCTTTGAGATTTGAGCTTTTCCTCGAGAGATATCATGGCTTGCAAACGAGCGAAGCATGGCAGTTGATCAGTGTACGGATGTACAAATGAACACAAAAGTATTTTTTAGTTCCTTCATCCGAGCCTCTGAAGAAACAATGGGTTAATTTTATTTTCTCTGGAAATGCGGCGACACAACTTCCCAAAGTTTTGTATGGTCCAAACATTTCACAGACGACTGTTTCCTCAACTCGATGAACGTCTGAAAATAAATCATCGAGCTACCAAGCAACAATATCTGATGTGTATAATTGTTCAAGTTCAGACAGGTAAGTTAATCTTTCTCTCAAAATCGTTCAATAGTGTTTATGCATCAGTAAGTCAAGCCAGTGACTAAAATATCAACTTCACATCGCTTCTTTTAGTAGGATGAAAATAATCTTATTTAAATTCTGAACAAATTATAGAAAGCGATCAAAGAACAATCTTTCCACAAAGCGCGAGTTTATGAAATCAATGACGCACGTTACACTGCACAACGAAGCTCTTACTGTATGTACATCATCGTGTTTGCATTGGTGAAAGCATTAGAGAGAGTGCAGAAACTGCATTGCAAAGATAAGATCTTCATGCTTGCGATCAACAGACTGTGATCTGCGCGCTCAATGTTCATCACGGCAACATTTTATGTGATGGGAATAGATCTAAATACTTTAAAAACTTCTCATGATTCGTTAATCTCGATAGCTGTAATAGTAAAAACGTATAATAGCTGTAGGAAAAGTATTCGAGAAAGTTTTGCATGTAATTCATAGCTATTTAATATGCAAGCATGTCAGCCAATCACAGCAGTGGCCGGTTACACTGAATCCCACAGCAGACACGCCCCTTCAAACAGAGCGTTCAAATCAGAGGCTAAAATCAGGCTAGGAAAAATGCATTTTATTTCTAAATTATGACTATTTTTGATCTAAAAAACATACTAACATTATAAGGGCAACCCAGGAAACATTATAAAATATTAAAATAACCCCATGTCAGGGGACCTTTAATATTTTTGTCGAAACCATGCTACATTCTTTTTAGGATTGTTTGATCAATTGAAAGTCCAAAAGAACAGCATTTATTTAAAATATAATGTTTTTTGCAGCAAAGTAAAAGTCTTTACTTTCACTGTTTAAACAATCTAATGCACCTTTGGTGAATAAAAGTATTAATTTATGTAAAAAACAACAACTTTTGAATGGTAGTGTATCAATATGAAGTATACTGTCTGTCATTGGCATGCAATCAACAGCAATTCATTTAGCAATTGAGACGTCAATCAGTATGTGTGTTGTTGTACTCCCTCTCCAGTATTATTTAATTGATTTAATTATGTACACATGAAAGCCCAGCTTATACAAAAGTTTCATGCGACATGTTTCAAAGCAATGGTCATAACATATCCTACCACCATCACCTGAAAGAGAAGAGTGAACCTCAAACGTTTGTTTCCACGTACAAAAGCAATCAGCATTTCAATCTTACGAAATTTCAAGCACACAGGAAATTCTGTGGCCCACAAATACATTACTGTGTCAGGAGCTTCCTCTCTGAGGTTGTGGGCAGAGACAAAGAAAAATCAATAGGGAACATTAGTCAGGAAAATTAGATATTGGTTTCGCCTTGATTGAAGATGAGATCAGACGTTTGGCATTCAGTTCACAGGCTTTATTGCTCCCCTGAGTAAGAGGCCTTAATCACATTCCTAAGAAATAAATCAAAGCAAAAACAACCACAATGTACTATGCATTAAAAAGCAACAGAGTAAATACATCAGTCATTCTAAAGCAGCGTGACCTGTAACCTCCGCTGAGCGCCATGTTGTTTTTCAATATTGTCCCAAGATGACAAGAAACCGGAAGATGGCAAGCTGTCGTTTCTGACTGATTCATTTCTAGGTATTTAATACACAAATGTTTTAGACAAAACCACTTAGGGTCAAATGCACTTTTTCCACTTTGCTGTGTCATATTTCAGTGTTTATGCACATTTTCAATTGATCGAGGAAGCTGTAATTCATCAAACGATGGATTAATCGGCGTTTAGTCTATACAGTAAAGTACGTTAAACTTTTTACCCCTGCCGATTGTATTTAGGCTTCAAAATTCATAAAAGTCATGTTAATTTGTGAAGATTATCACTATGAACAAAAAGTGTAACAATCATATATTTTTTTAAGTCACGGAGCTTATTTTCTGCAATAATCCAAAAGCCAATGTCGATAGAACCAGGATGATGCTAACTTGGCGGATTGGCCAACAAAAATCATCACAGCAGCTCGATTAACAAAGCATGTTCATTCTGGATAGGAACTTGTGTCGTACTTGTGAAAATCACAACCCACAATATCCATTATAAATGTGACAAACATAATATCCATAACAACAATGTTATCAAACATAACAACCATTTAACAAAATGTTTAAATAATAAATAAGCATTGTGTATACTATTGAATATTTTTCCTAGATATTAATTACAACATGGAAATTAATTGCATCCATTCGTGTATTCACAATGAGCAAAACATTATGTAATAGAGACTTGTTGACAGAGTTTACAACTGTAATGATTTTAATGTTGTACGCCAACTAATTAAAATGAGGCTAGCTAATTGGGCTCCTAATTAATGCAGAAATCTGGCATTAAGCACTGTTTGTGGACTGTCACAGCTGACATTAACGCGGGTTTGTTTGGGACTTGATTCAAAGTCTGGTTGACTTTTGATTGACAAAAGTAGTAAAAGTTGATAGAGGAAACTAATTAAACTTCTTTCTGTGTCATTTCTCAACACTGTTCTGTGATCATCTGTGTCTTTGTTCAAGGCGACCGGGTGAATCCATTTAATTAAATCCTGATCCAGGCCAAAGTTAGATTGGAAACGCCCCCACTGAGGTAAAATTCTAATTATCTATCTACTTTCTGGAAACTACAAATTTTGCAATTTTCTTTCGACTTGTTAATAAGAGTAGCTCCTTTAAAAGAATCTCAGTGTAATCCGTTTTAGACTGGTTGCACACATTTAGTAACGATACAGCAATATTTCTGTCCTCCATAAGAGGCATCCATGCACAATTGCACATACATAATGTTAAAAAATTTGGGTAATTTTCAGCATCCAGTCTTCAGTGTAGGAAAAATATCCACATTTAAAACTTTTAAAACTATAATCATATGCGTTCACGAGAGAGTTGAGTTCCGGAGGAAGGGTGACCTCTGACCCAACGTATGACGTAAGATGTAGGACGAAGGCGTAGCGTAAGCATGGGTGAGAAAAGATGCCTTTCCCGAAAACTCTCTTGTGAACGCGCGCACGGCCTTTGCTAGAAGCCAATGATTATTGTTTATAAAGTTTTAAATATGGATATTTTTCTTACAAAAAACCATCGCTTCACTTCAGAAGGCATTTATTAACCCACTGGAGTTGTATGGATTACTTTTATGTTGGATAGATGCGCTTTTTGGAGCTTCAAAAACCAGGGCGCTGTTAAATACCATTACAAAGCCAGACATCCCAAGTCTCCCGGAAGTTCCGGGAGTCTCCCGCATATTGCTAGCCTCTCCCTGATGCCCGCAAATTAGTTCAAATCTCCCGGAATCTAGAGCGAGATAGAACATACTGCGCCCAGAGCTTAGAAAACCTCATATTTAACGGCTCTGACTGCGCGCATAACATACACAGCGCGCGGCGCGTGCAAGGCAGAGAGGGAGAGAGCGAGAGACCTTGCGAGTGTGCCTCAGGAAAGATAGACAACCCCCCCCCCGTCAACAATCCAGTCACCCCCCCCCCCCCCCCCCCGTCAACAATCCAGTCACCCCCCCCCCCCCCCCCCCCCCCCCCCCCCCCCCCCCCCCCCCCCCCCCCCCCCCCCCCCCCCCCCCGTCAACAATCCAGTCACCAAGATATACCTCCCTGAAATGACTTCTTGCAGGTTGGGATGTCTGCAAAGCTATGTGTAACAGTTATTCTGTTATCTGTGTGTTAAGTTTCGTTTTCATGGACTTTTAGTTTGCATTCATCAGTTCCTGTTTTTCTTTGTTCAGTTTTCCCGCTTCTCCTTGGTTGTCATGGTAACTAATATGATTTGCCATCCCGTTCAGCTGTGCCGTTGTTGATCAACTCGTTTGCCTGTGTACTTTTTTAGGTATTTTATTATCTAAAATCAATATTTTTATTCATAAATATGTCCTCAATGGTGTACAAATACCTATGCCAATTATCCGACTTATCCTCGTAAACGAAGAATTTATTATACATCTTTATATACATGGGACGGGTAGGTCCACGGAGGCTTCCATGTAGTTCCGCCATCTTGAAAAACTATAATAGCAGAGAGGGACAAAAAGTTCTAGGCCAACGCGTTTTCGTTCAGAGCCAGCGTCACGTAACTGAACGCAGCAGAAACGGAGGAGCAGAGCAGTGAGAGGCGCTTGTCACTGCCCCGGCAAGTTTCAGTCAGTAATTCATACTGTAACATTCGTTTGTTCGTTGTGTCAAGTTGCAGTTTGTTTGAAATAACAAACCTGTAACCCGAAGGAACACTCGACCAAGTGCTATTAGAAGACATCCTGTCATAGCTTTTTGGTACATAATGGCTACCGTGGATACAACACGCATTTGAAAAAGCTAGGCGCTGGAGAGCACAATTCGTTTGAATGCAAAATACAATTTCACCGCTAGATGGGAGAAATTCCTACACATTGTCCCTTTAAGTTCCTGTGTTTTCAGTTCAATTTGTCCGGTCTCGTCTGTGTTATGCTGAATCTATTCTATGTTTGAGCTACCTGTGTGTTGAATTAAAAAGACTTTTGGAATCTTCATCTTCGTGCGATTATATACAGCACATGTGACACTGGGAAGAGCCAGGATATTATTTAATATAACTCAACTGGCTGGATTAGGATGTAATCCCACATGGTACAGTATATGTAAAATGATGTCTTACCCAGGACGGTGAGGAAAGCCTTGGCTGTTTTGACAGGCATAGTGAAGAGGGAGCAGGTGTACAGCCCTTCGTCTCCCAGCGTGACCTCGCTGATGCTGATCGTCAACTCCTGCGCCGTGGCTCGGACCAGCTCAATCCGGTTATCTCTCAGCGCTGCGGGAACAAACAATCAAGAGAGCACCATTAATTATGACACCTTCATTAGCATTTGCCACACACTAAAGAGCGGCAGATTCTCTGACATTCCCTCTATTCCTGAAAATTGAAATGCATGAATACTGACCAAAAAAAACAAAACAAAAAAAAACGCATTTTTTAACCAAAAACAAAAAATTAATTAACAAGTCATTCTATGATTATGTTCACATATTGTGCGGAGTATGAAGATCAATTCCATTGCTACAGGGAAAACATATTTCATGATGGCTTTCAGTCAGAGGGCAAATTGAATATGGATCAGTCAAGATTCAAATCCAACATCACTTCAGTCAATAGTGTTCAGAATGAGCATTGATCGATTTGAAACATACATGCTTGAGCTCTCTAATCCTCATTTACAAACTCTGTATTTATAACATTTGCAGGTACTTTACCCATTCGAGTATGAATAAAAGTAAAGTTCAAACTTATTATGAGTGTGACCTCTGTGCGAAAGAGGCCTAAGGATACGGTCTCAGTTATTACACCTCTTAGAGTCCGTCATTACACAGACCTAATGAAAAGGTCAAAGTGCTAATGCAAAAGTCAAAGGCTAACGTCAGAGACGGGCTATAATTCCTGAAGCATCTTCAACATGCTTTGTTTAATGATAATGACTACAGCATGAAAAAGTCTGGAAGATCATAAGATATTTGCCATGTGGCGGCACAGTTTAATCAACGGAGACAAGGTCACTAGTTCTATCCTTCTGTTTTCCATAAAACTCACTCAGACATTTTGAGCCTCATTGACGCTCCGTAACAACCTGCCAGAATATTCGTGTATGAGCTTTATGGATCTTTTTCCCCAGGAGAATAGAAAGAACACATTCTTATGGTCAATCATAAGTGTGACCTTTCAAAGCTCTCTTAATAAAAAGAGCTATGCCTTAGCCGTTAGCCTTGTCATACGACCTGAAAACTTTAAATAGAATACAGCAGTGCTAGTGAAGATACTTTAAAACTGCAGATTCTCAAGCTAAAAATCTACTAAAACAATTGTTTAACTATAAGGTTCTCTATATAAAACAATACACGCTAATAATGAAACTTATGTACTATACATCGAAGGTATTAAGAGTTTAAGGGGCAATATCTTTTAAATTACTTTATTTTTTCATACATAAAAAGGGTGTATATATAGGCTATATATCAGGGATGGAAATTAGCACCCGCCACCAGCCAAATGCGGGTGATTTTGTGTTGTGGCGGGTAAACTCGCTTCACCTACCGGCCACCGTGGCGGGTAAATAAAAATAGCATACTGTTTCACCCGGACGGCGGACACTTTTAGAGGAGGCTCACCTTCAAACAAAAATGTGGCGTTACATCGCGGGCGTAGAGGTCTGCAGAGAAAACATCATGGTGCGTTCACACCAGACGAGAATAGAGCGTCTGGCGCGAGTGATTTTATTGTTAAGTCAATGCAAAGACGCGTTATGCGCGTAAAAAATTTCTACGGCGCGAATGAGGTGTAGAGCGCGCCGTGGTAGATGCGAATACGCCTCATTCGCGCGGCAAGTTCGAGCGTCTGACGCGTTCCGCGCGCATGATTTTATTGAGTGCTTTTGTGCATTCACGCGTTTGACGCGAATTCGCGTCTGCCGCCCTAGTTGAAAAATCTGAACTTTGGCGTCAATTCGCGCCGCGTTAACCAATCAGGAGCCTAGCTGCTGTCACGTGGTGAAGTATCTGGATGCTTCAATAAATTATTTTGTACTAAATGCCTGATGTGGTTCTAATGCACAACAAAGCAAATATTTTATCACATAAAACTTGATTTCAATATATGAGACATATTCATTTTGTATTGAATGCTATTTATTCCATTTCATTTCTAGATTATATTAAATATTATTCTAATGTAAAGGCAACCAACATACTATAGCTCATAAATCTGTGTCTGGAGAGTGTTGTGTGAGAGAAAAAAAAAATCACAGGACAGGTTAATTACTTTTGGAGGCTGGCTCAAATTATCATCAAAACAAAAATAAATGACAGATTAGGTGGATGAGGCCGAGGGTGAGAGAAAGAGAAAATGTCAGCATTTCATTGAGACTTGAGATTAAATAAACTGCTTAAGTATTCTTGTAGTATTAATTTTCACATGCAGTTACACATTGTCGGTTAAAAACAAGAAAGTGGCTGGTAAAAAACATTGAGTGGCTGGTAGATTTTGAAATCCACCAGCCACAGTGGCCGGTGGACAAAAAAGTTAATTTCCATCCCTGCTATATATACACTCACCGGCCACTTTATTAGGTACCCCATGCTAGTAACGGGTTGGACCCCCTTTTGCCTTCAGAACTGCCTCAATTCTTCGTGGCATAGATTCAACAAGGTGCTGGAAGCATTCCTCAGGGAGTTTGGTCCATATTGACATGATGGCATCACACAGTTGCCGCAGATTTGTCGGCTGCACATCCATGATGCGAATCTCCCGTTCCACCACATCCCAAAGATGCTCTATTGGGTTGAGATCTGGTGACTGTGGAGGCCATTTTAGTACAGTGAACTCATTGTCATGTTCAAGAAACCAATTTGAAATGATTAGAGCTTTGTGACATGGTGGAAGTAGCCATCAGAGGATGGGTACATGGTGGCCATAAAGGGATGGACATGGTCAGAAACAATGCTCAGGTAGGCCGTGGCATTTAAACGATGCCCAATTGGCACTAAGGGGCCTAAAGTGTGCCAGGAAAACATCCCCCACACCATTACACCACCACCACCAGCCTGCACAGTGGTAACAAGGCATGATGGTTCCATGTTCTCATTCTGTTTACGCCAAATTCTGACTCTAACATCTGAATGTCTCAAAAGACATCGAGACTCATCAGACCAGGCAACATTTTTCCAGTCTTCAACTGTTCAATTTTGGTGAGCTCTTGCAAATTGTAGCCTCTTTTTCCTATTTGTAGTGGAGATGAGTGGTACCCGGTGGAGTCTTCTGCTGTTGTAGCCCATCCGCCTCAAGGTTGTGCGTGTTGTGGCTTCACAAATGCTTTGCTGCATACCTCGGTTGTAACGAGTGGTTATTTCAGTCACTGTTGCCCTTCTATCAGCTCGAACCAGTCTGGCCATTCTCCTCTGACCTCTGGCATCAACAAGGCATTTCCGCCCACAGAACTGCCGCTCACTGGATGTTTTTTCTTTTTCGGACCATTCTCTGTAAACCCTAGAGATGGTTGTGCGTGAAAATCCCAGTAGATTAGCAGTTTCTGAAATACTCAGACCAGCCCTTCTGGCACCAACAATCATGCCACGTTCAAAGTCACTCAAATCACCTTTCTTCCCCATACTGATGCTCGGTTTGAACTGCAGGAGATTGTCTTGACCATGTCTACATGCCTAAATGCACTGAGTTGCCGCCATGTGATTGGCTGCTTAGAAATTAAGTGTTAACGAGCAGTTGGACAGGTGTACCTAATAAAGTGGCCGGTGAGTGTATATGTAACCTTTGGCTAAATATTACAGAAACCCGACTACGCCACCTAGGTTACTTCTCCACATAGGAAAGTAAAAATAATCAAAATACCGCAAAAAGAATTAAACCAAAAAGAATTATAAAAATATGAAGGACCCTGCTGGTTCGGATTGCATCAAAGACAGAGACGTGACTTTTCAAAAGTATACAAAGTTTTTTTCACACACGAAACATTATTCATTCATCATCAAAACGTCCTAAAAATAGATCTCGTACACAGTTTACCAATTAAATACCCACAGTTAATAAGAGACCGTAATTAACCCACTTTAACAGAAGGGACAAAACACACAGCAAATCAGTGAATAAAGTGTCTTAAAGCAAGTGATAAAGCAAATAAAGAAACAATACCAAAAGGAAACAAATACACTATCCCCTTCTGCTAAGCCAAGTATCACATGCAGATATATAGCTTTCCTGTAGCTCAAACAGTAGAGCGTTGGCGCTTGCAACACCAAGGTCATGGGTTTGATACCCAGGGGAAAGCAAAAACTGATAAGAATGTAAATGTGTACCTTGAAATGCAATGTAAGTTGCTTTGGATAAAAGCGTCTGCCAAATGCATAAATATAAATGTAAATATATATGCACTGGCAAATAAATTTGTAATACCAAAGAAAGAAAAAAGGAAAAGATTACATAGACAATCAAACTGACACAATATTTAACATCACAACTGATAATATTTAAGATCGTTCAGGCTGCCTTGATGGACCAAACTACCAGCGTGTTAGTTTAATATAATAGCCCATAAAACACGCATGTTCAATACTTCATCAACACATTTTATACAGACCGATTAGGGCAGAAGTCTTTAAAGAGCTCGGTAAATACAGCAGTTCGAAAAAGTCCATTAGTCAGCCGTACGAAAAGGACAATGAAACAGTGACACAAACGGGTATCTAAAAACAGCAGCTAGCGCTCTGGGGCCGCAACTCGGAGGGGAAATTTTTAGCCTATAGTGAGCTTTATGCTACCTGGGCTTGCCACTTCACGCACGCACGCACACACACACAGCCTATAGTGAGCTTTATGCTACCTGGGCTTGCCACTTCACGCACGCACACACACACACACACAGCCTATAGTGAGCTTTATGCTACCTGGGCTTGCCACTTCACGCACGCACGCACGCATGCATGCATGCCCCACTAAGACAGGCTTTTTATCACGCCACTAGAACATGACGCTCCTCCATGATTGAGCCGCACAGGTGTGCTCAATGTCAACGCCAGTGGGCATGTCTTGCCATTTGAAATATATGCAACCATTAAAAATTAACTACTTCTAATGAGCCAAGAGCCAAAACGAATATTAAAGATTCTCAACCTGTCACATATATATATATATCAATATTTTTAATCATTTTAATATAAAATATGTTTCAATAATTTGAAAAGAACTGTACAAATTGTGCTTGAACTGATTCACTAAAATGAATTAAACTTGCCAAAATCCATTCTAGGAGA